TTTCGCGCAACTTTATCGGATCTTTCGTGTTTAATCCTGCATAATTTCATAAATATAAAATCTTATAATATTGGTACTACGTACAAGTATATCTCGGAAAAACCAATCCTTGAAGCGCAGAGAGCCTAAATAAAAGGCACGACATACCCATTTCTCCTACTACCTCCCACAATTTGAGAACTAATAGCCGGGCGATCAGGCTTTAGGTATTTATATCCCGGCATAATGAGACAACGAGTTTGCGACCCGTTTGCCTACGGACTTATACACCATATACCTTATAAATTATAAGTCCTATACGACCCGAATCTATTTTACAATAAGTTTCGCGGACGTTTAGTTTCCTAGCGCGGACCCATCGCGGATCTTTCGTGGACATTCTATTTCCCATGTTAAAACCGTTTTATATAATAATTGCTAGAACTCAAAAAGACCAATACCGAGAAAAAAATAAAAATAAATAAATCACTAGAGCGATTACAATAGAGATTTGCCAAATGAGCAGTCAAAGAAAGTAAAAAGGGTAGGGATCCTCTAGTAGAGATAATAATAGATATAGAGAACCGCCAAGCACCCAATCAGGTGGGCAAATCTATAACATTGCAATATCTGAGATATTGGTATTATATTGAATTTGTAGTTTATGAATTGCAGCTTTCAGTTTAGAACAACCCCAAGGCAAAATTCTGATTAGACTAGAGAAATGGATGCGACTACTCTTAGTAATATTGGGTCTTCTTGTTGTTTTCAATGTCTCGCTAGACCACAGGAGATATCAAGACCGCAGACGCCATTCTTCCGCTTTACCTCGGCAGATGGAAAGATATTTGCCCTCCCAAGCTCCATCATTGACGATAAGCAGTAGCTCTCAGCCTGGTCTGCCATAACACTGCGACAGCTGAGAACAGCACGGTGCACCTCTTGGGGTCAAAGGCCTCGCGTGCAGAAATTACGTAGGAATGGCAGATCCGTGCAATGCTACCTTCGAAATACCGGAGCTCCAGTCGAAACGCAATTGCATTGCTGGCTCAGCTCTGGGTCAAACTGTACCGATATGAAGCAGGGGCCTGGATAACGCAAGGCGCTGTAAGCTGTAAACCCCCAAACCCTCATCACTCACAACTCCTCCCCTCCGGCCTTGCAGAGGCTGGTGCACTTGGGATGCAGCATGTCGAACTTGTCTGCCGCCACATTGACAACGGGTCCCAAGCAGACCGCCAACTCCTCGCACCACGGGACGACTAGTGAGCTTGGAGGCACGGCTCAGTGGTCCAGGGCACCTCGCGTTCTTTGTCTTCCTTCGCAGCGCCTTTCAGCAGCGCTCCGACAGTTAGCTTGCTGGGTCGAAGAATGCACCTCAGGGGGTTTCGGAAATTGCCGAAACCGAAAGGGTCATACTGGTAGTTGTACAGCCATAATTTTCCTATGCATCTTGTGCTTGCTGATGCTTTGAATGGCGAGGCCATCACGAAAAGCCGATACATCAGATCCGATCCTTTAAGGACCCCACGGATCGATGAGGAGGAGGCTACCATCCTCTTCCTCAACCCCCTGCGGCAGGTTTGCAGCTTGGATTCGGATCGCCCTGCTTCTTGACCGTGGCAAAAGTGCTCAGAGCGGAGTGAGGTTTATACTCTTGACTGTGCCATCTCGTAGCACTGGTCATTAGAAGCAGAACCTGGCCTTCCAAGCGCAGTAAGATGTTGGCACCCGATGGCGAAACCCCTAAACCCTAAACACTAAACTCAGGCAATTACTAGCTGCTGGCCTGAATGTCACAGACCAGCTCCTTGCCGTTGGAGGAGAAGGCGGAGTGGTGGAAGAAGGCCTTCTCGTCATTATGATGGTAAAGTGCTTTGTGTTGTCTTAATGTTCTTACGATTCTTACTGTTATGGCTGTTACTGTCAGTCTTCTTATCATTGTGATTGTTGGTTGTTGTTAGCGCTGTTATTCTAGTGTCATGTTGTTGCTACTGCTACTGCTAGTGCTAGTGTCTGTGCTTGTGTCAGTGTTAGTTTTCGTATGTCTTCGTGCTATATTATCATTACGTGTATTGTTGATGTTGTGTTCATTGTCAATGTCATTGTTTTTACTGTGATTCTTGTTATTGGTGCTATTGTTGTTATTGTCATTGTTGGGATTAGTGGTCATTACTATGGCTGTTACTGTTAACACTGTTACAGTCGATGCTATTGCGACTATGGTTTATTTTCTTAGCCCTGTCGTCAAATATCATTGTTACTGTCATCACTGTTATTGTCATTATTCGGTTTATTGGTACTACCTGAGGAAGCACGAAGACTGCCCAGAGTCGATCTAGTGCTATGTGGAGTGAGATAGGGTCAGCTCTGTTCACCCAGCACTAATCCATAATCCGAATTGGGTCAATGTTCTCGCTGCACGTTTCTTTACAATGATTTGAAGTCGCTAAGGATCTATGACTTGAACTTGTCGTTACAACAATGCACTCTTGGTCAGCCTTTTCCCTCTGCCGCTCGTTTAGACTCATGCCACAGTAAACCTGCACTGCGCAAAGACATAGCTGTCATGGGCCAAACGAAAATCAACTCTGACGGGCTTAAGGGCCCGATGGCGTCGACACAAATTCGAGGCAGCTTAAGGGCAGGGGCGCCTCAAAGCCTCCCTTTTGCAAGCGTTTTTTCGCCCGCCGGTCGATCATCCCGGAGCATCCTTCTGCCAGCCACCAGCGACCTTGTCTGCTTAAACAAGACCCGGGCTCGCTTCTTGGACCTCGTGGCCTGCGTGATCATCAGACCCGTGAGGGCTTCGGCTGCAGGGCGGCGATCGGCACTGTATGGCCAAGGAAGGTGACCTTTTTCGGCGTCTGCAGCGTTTGGCTTCTCTGGACAGACTTGTTGACATCCTTGGTTGGTGCAGGCCCGTCATCCTATTCTGTAGCAGAAGCGGGTGATTGCGGGGAATGGACAAGCCTCAGCTTGTCTTCCACACTTCTCAACGACATGTACTGCGTGTTCACCAAAGTCCCGCCATCATACACAGCATGCCCAGTGGAAAGTCCAGCCGACATGAAAGCGGCATCTCCGACTCATGCTGAGCAAACTGGTGCTGGGCCGGTTTTCGACAAGGCTGACAACGTCCATCAACTGCTGCTTCACGGCCTGACTCGAAAGATCTACAGATGATTCAAAGGCTGCGGTCCCTGTCGAACCGGCAGAATGTACGGGAGAATGCTGAGGCATTGGGACAACGCCAGAGTAATGGACCGAGATAAACGTCTCGTCGGCAGATCCTTGCACTCCGTAGCAACTCCTCATCCGCGCAGATGTCGGCCACCCTTCGAAGCTTGCAAGCGAGGTTGCACTCCTCCATCAGCTCGCCATCCCCAACTTAGAAATATGACTGGGGCGCGAAAAGGTGGAGCCTCTTACGCTGGCGATCAGTTCTCGCTGGAAAGCTTGGTATGCGCATGGAGGTCGAAGTGCAGTATTCCCTGCAAATCTGCAGCCAAGCACTTTTCGCAAGCCACGTCTACAGTCTGCGACACCAGCCCCCGAAAGTCACCAGGTACCAGCCATCTTTCTGGGGTGCTCTGAAACGGGGCGTGAAGTGCAGCCGTTGGCAGTCTCAGCCCGACGCATCTCGCAAGCCACGTCAGGCAGGCCTGGTGTCGGAAACCGCATGGTCTCCATCCTCCTCCTCCTCCTCCTCCTCCTCCTAGTCCTCCTCCTCCTCCTCCGCCTCCTCCTCCTCCTCCTACTCCTCCTCCTCCTCCTCCTCCGCCTCCTCCTCCTCCTCCACCTCCTCCTCCTCCTCTTCCTCCTCCTCCTTCTCCTGCAGCAATGGAAGGATCTCCAGGGTTTTGCAGGGGTCAGCCTGCCCTGGGATTCTGACGGGATCAGAGGCGGCCAGTCGCCAGCTGGCATTGAAGAGTTGGCAACACTCTTCGCAGGTGTTCCCGCAGGAATGAGGCCTGGCGGGCAGCTTTCGCCACGCCAGGCGGCCAAGAACCTCGCGCCGCCAGACTCGATCCGCCGCCACCATCGCGGGAGTGAGGAATGGTTCAAAAGGGTGGTCCAGTGGCGGAAGCCCTGGAAGCTGCCAGAGATGGTCGCTTACGTTCTTCTCCTCGCCCCCAGATGACTGGCCAGACACATCACCACTGACCACAGGATCTGGATCAGGGAGTTCACGTTCATCCCTCTTTTCCCCCTCCTCCGCTTCGACTCGCTGCCTGCACGGCCGGAGGTTTCGTGGCGTGCTGCGGCTTCGCTTCGCACTCCTGGACCTCCTCTCCCGATATTCGAGGAAGGTGCTGTGCGTGCAAAGCTCGAACTCCACCTCCTCATCGTCCTCTCCTCCGCTGGCTGTGGCAGTGGTCGCTGCGGGCTCCGTAGAGTGTGGTGGCGGGGGAGGAGGTGGTTCACGTGGGAAATCCCGCACCAGCTTCTGGCGCTCCAAACAGCAGCACAGCGAACCGCCCATGGCTCCACGCAGGCCCGATACTACGGAGGAAAGAGACACCCTCGTTTTTGTGAATCTTGCATGACGCCGCACGCTGGTAATGCGACGCCGTAGTAAGACATCCTTGGCATTGGAAGTTGTGTTGCTGTTGCGTGCTCTCTTAGCAACCGCCCTTGCCACAGCTATCGCGTACACCGGACAATGCACGAGAAATGCAATGTTAGTCGAACAACTGGACCGTTGAAATCGAAGCTGTGCAAAGCATCACCACCGTCAAGCCCGAAACCAAGGCTAAGAGCACGCGGCCTTGATTCTTGATCCTCTGCTGCAGACTCTGCGAATAGTCCATCACGACCAACCCATGTAGCCCCAACATGGCGTTGCAGACTTGGCCCCCACATGGCCCGAGAGTAAAGACTCAGATCGGTGCGGCTGCTCTTCATTGGTGGCATTCGAAAAAATGTCACTTCCGGGTGTCATGTCGTAATGATGATGTGACGGGGAGAGATATAGAGGGAGTCAAAAACGACACGAGGAGTAAGTGTGTCTGCATGCAAGTGTGCAGCTCAGCAGATCCCGGGCTCTGAAACCGCGCCTGGGCAAGCTCCACGAAGTCTTGGCAACCATTGAAAACAAACTTTCGGACCTCGAAGTCTCGTGGATGCAGCTAACGTCCACTTTGCGGCAGTTTGACAGAAGCTTCTCTGGCCTCGGGGTCCGAGTAAGGCCACAGTGTGCAGTACGCTCCTGGGTCTGAGAGGTTCACACCGAAAGTCCACCAAAGGAGAGTCTGATACCGCTTACCGGGCTTACCGATTCATCGGCTATGCTAAGGGCCCAGCCGACGGGAAGCAATGCGGGGAAGCTGGTTTTGACTACTCGACATGCAACTGGGGCAGCCACCTCGCACAGGGCACACTTTGCCAAGGACAGGCATTCAGGCGCAAGGTCAAGCCCACCAGCCACTGACCAGGCCCATGCTTCACACTTCATGGCCCAAATAACCCCTCGCTCAGGCGGAAGTGCATGAACCAGGGCAGCACCAGGGCATCGAGCAAAGCTGCACCTTGACACACGGCAGCTGCTCGTCTACTGCCTCGCCAGCTTCTCGGGCATGCTCACCTTCGGATTGTCGTGGAGCGGCCAGAAAGCAACAACGTTGTTACGATTACAAGCTTGCCGAACAAGGGTAGCAAGGTCGACATCCAGCTGAGCCGAGCCCCATGCGACTGTACAAGTTGAAGCGATGAGCATAGGAGCCTGCGCTTTTGGCATCCTCGCAGGTGTCAAGACTTCCTGGTGCACTCTCCCAAAGTTCATCCGTTGACCTAATGCACAAGCCGCCGACGATCACATCCATGCTCGGAAACCGATGGACGAGCCTCCAAGTCCCATTTCACGGCATCTTCGGTTCTCTCCTCTGCACGTGTTGCCATCTGCAGCACGTATGCCTCGTGCCAATTTGCACAAATCAGATCTTCCCAAATGGAAAGGAGCTTGTGACTTGTAATCCGGCCTTGTCCGGGGCGAAAGCCTGCATCCAATGCGACGAAACCGAAAAAAGTCTAGCTGACGACACCACCCGGACAAGCGGTGCTGCCGTGAAGCACCACCGTTGTCCCTGATCTGAGGCCCCGGCGATGGAGGCTCTCCAAGATCTCTTGGATGCCTGTAGTGCTCCGTGTGCGACATTGCAGGCTTTGCAGCCAAAGCTTCTCGCATGGACCTGGAACCGGTAGTCATCTGGCCAGGTGGCTCGGACAGCTTCACTGTACCTCAAACTTCAAGTCTAGCTGTATCAATCCCCCCGCCAAATCGTAACAGCAGGAATTGAAGTTTGGCTGCCAACGCCTCAAACTCAGTGCTTCGAAACCAGACTCGGTCGACAGCTTGTTCACCTGCTGGGTGATTGTCCCATAAGTTGCTGCGCTGAAAGAAGCGAGCGTACTGATCTCTCACTATTTTCTCTTACTTTCGCAGATCCAGCCCTGTTGCAGCCTGAAGCTGCTGGGCCTCTTTGAAGCCGCTCGGCCTGGGAAGATGCATGAGTCTCTGCAACTGACGACTGAAGGGTTTAGGCATCTGCTCTCCCCAACTTCCCAACCTGACCCCGCGAGAATCATCTGCCGCAGTGCTCACGACTTCCAGGATCAGCTCCTCGCCACATCTCTGCTCGCAATGCAACAATATGCTTCAAGATGAAAACGACGACAGTCATCAATGATGGATTGGGCGCTGCAGGACATACTAGAACAGTGTCTACTGGGTAGACGCCATCATTGCAAGGACACAGCACCAACCTGTGCACACTTGGCTCTCAGGTTTCAGGCAGCGCAAGGTCAAGACGATCGACCGCTTCCAACACCCAGGTGTAAACGCAGTTTAGTCAGGTGACCTCCGCGTCTCCGTCAGCGATGCCGGAAAAGAGTGCTCCTCGCAACGAAATCAGCACAGAGAAGACGTGATGCGACAACACAGACATCTCGCCTATAGCTGCAGCGTGCTCGATGCGAACACCACATGTTGCCCTTAGATGAGAGTCTGCAAAGGCTGACACTGCGCGCTGAGATGTGAGGCCAACAAACGAACCAATTTTGTTGATGCAAAGACATCTATCGCAGGGGAACGCATCGAGTCTGCTTCGAAACATCCTTGCAAACTTGCAGCTTTGGCATGAGGCCATTCGGTCGCCAGCTGAGGGCAGAACAGCGTTGCACCCATCGAGCTGGTGTACTGTCTGAGACTACAGGCTTCACTCTGCGTGCTTACGTCGGGTTTTGAAACACAGAGACCTGCAGTGCTTCAGCTTCGGGATCTACTTGGGGATTTAGGGTTGCAAGGCTTTGGGGTTTTGGGTTGAGTTCGGGCTTCAGTCTTCGCAGGCAAAAGGGCTTGTGGCTTGAGCAGCGGCCAGAACACAAGCTTTCACGCGCATGCGAGCCGCTTAGCGCGCGACCAACAGATCTGGACATGTTATTCCACTCTTGCAGACGCAGCTTTGCTGCAAAGCCTGGTTTTGCTCGTATCCAATACTTTCGCGTGGGGTCTCCGGAGTTTGGATCACCCCTGCCATGAGGCTGTACATACAGGAACTGGGAAGGCATGTCGCCAGCCAACGGACAGTTCATGTAGAGGCGAGGGATGCAGAAATGGGTCCACTAGATGCTGCCACGCTGTCCATGCTCCCGCGGCTCTGTCCTGCCTCCCCAGCTCCACGACCGAGGTAGTGGCCGAACTCTAAGGTGCTGTTCTGTGGTGACACCGGCCAAGTCGGGTTCAGTTTTTGAAGAGGTGTTGCTACTCTGCGGAAGGTCCTTCTGTGATGCGGTGCACTCTCTTGATTGCCCCCAACCAGCCGCACAAAGTTGCAGGCAGCGCTGCCCGACTCTTTACCTGGCAGCACAGAGCGCACCAAGACCAACACAGGCCCACAAAGCAAAGCAGGACAAGGCAAATTCGGGCAAAGTCTGACATCCGCAGTAAACGCCGGTATCCTAAATGCCAGGAGCACTCTTCCTTGACAACATCCGTGTATTTTGGCACCTTTGCCAAAAGGTCATCCTTCGCAGGCAGTCCGGTTCTTCGGGTATCTTTATGGCTGTCATTGCGCGAGAGCATCTTGAGAGCAATTGCTTTTCGGTCCTTTATGGCAACAGCCTGCTTGATGTAGGGCCTGGAGCAATCCAGGCTACGTCGATCCACGCTGGAATGTGAAAAGGCATCGTTAGCAAAAGGATTCGCCGGGGCATCCACCCGACATACTGATGCAGCTCTGCATTCTTGGCCTTCCACACGTAAGGCGCCACCTGACACATAATTCGGACAATGTTGATTCGCATGCCATCATCTTGCAGTGGTGAGTACTGCGAGTCAAAGCTGGGGCAAGCACGAACAGCACATTTCCTATCATCCAGACGAAGAAAAAGGCACCTGCCGTGAAAGCTGTGCATCAACTCTGCGTTCAGTTACGACAGAACTTGTTCACAGGCTTTGAAGAGTCTGGATACGTTCGGTTAGGGAACAGAAAACATGACCATTTGATGTGCACTGATATACGTTGGCCGATCATGAACCCGTCACTCAGAAGCACGTCAGCTTGGCCAAAATAGGGCGAGACGAGTCCTGAAACGAACAGATTCTGAACTCTGTTGTAGCTCGGTCGGGAGACTTGATGGATCCACTTGCTGTGAGGCAGGAGCTCACGAGCTGCAGGACGAACACGGCCTCTGACGGAACAAGGAAGACGGCCACGGGCTCGTGAGTTAGGGGCAGTGGTGCTGCAGCGATGCAGGAGGACAAAAGTAAGGTCCTGGCTGTAATGGTCATCTCCGAGCTAGTCCACAGGACAACGTCACGCACCTGCTGAAAACGGCTTGGAACGCAAGAGCCGAGCTTGTTCGCAGGCCTTTTCTGAGATTACGTTCAGGAACTTCGAAATGGTCTCCACTGCGCTCTTGATGGCATCCTCTGCGGGTACGAACCTCCCCTTCCATACCAGTCGGATCTGCATGAAGCTATTGAGAGAAGCCGTGCATGTGGTAGCTGGACACTGGATGACACTGGCATCTCCTGGGAGAGCAGGTCCACGTTCCGGTCAGCTGTCTGCGGTACTGCATACCTGGGTCTAGCACAGGCGGAACGTCTGGCATTCGCTCGCCTATGCTCGCCTGATTGCACCACCAGCCAGTAGCACCACGGTAAAGATGTGGCACAGTGCTGGAACCAGCCTTGGCAACTGATGGAAGGTGATCTGCAAGTGAGCTATGTCTCGGCACGACCTGAACCGTAACTACAAGTCAAAACGATTTGCTCTGGCGGTGCATCTGCGAGCTGAGCTTACAGCACCTGAGGGATCTGCGACAAGTCCCAGTAGAACACTGCCAGGAAGAAAATGTTGAACATGCTGAACACCGCACCTTTTCAGCGGAAGCTGTGGGGGTTCAAGCATGGGTCCCGAGCATCACGGGAGGCCCCTTGTAGGGCCTACTACAGCTTTCGGGCTCGGAACCCATGAACCAGCTCGAAATGTCGAGCGTTCCCGACCAGCCCTCCCAAAGCGCAACATCCCGACAACCCTCGACCGCAAATAGTCAACCATATTCAACCCGTGCTCGATCAAGAATGCTGCTATAAATTATGAAGATTGACCGAAACACCCTAAAAAGAAAGGCCAAAGGGGAGGGGTGCGACATTAGCCACGAGGTCTGCACTCACTTCTTTCAATCCGCCAATGACTCTCACTATGTAAGAACACGATAGCTGCATCAGAATTGATGCTCAGGTAACTCTGGCTCGTGTAATAAGGCTGTGATCGAAACAGGACGGCGGGAGATGCCATCTTTTGCATCTCGTCGCGACGACATTCTGCCTGTCTTGTGGTGTGGGGAGCTGACAACACTCAGCAACTGAGAAAATACCACGTCTATAGCCGTCTAGCTCAGAAGCCACTGCATGTACTAAGACGGAGTTTGCAAGCCATGCCTTCCCCCAGGATGACGGCGACGAAGACTTCCGTTCAAAAATCCGCTTGGCCGTCAAACCTTATGACTCAGGGACTGAGATACTCTTGTGCAGAAGGCTTCCAAACGCTTCCTCAGAAATCTGCATCATGCCAAAAAAAAAACCTCACGCCCTTCCGACTTTCCTCCCATAGATGATTCATCTAGGGGAGGAAGTTCGGAAGGGCGTGAGGCTTCTTGGCATGATGCAGATCATTCTCCTCTGCCAGCCAATGCCGCCAGTGCGACTAGCTCCCTGGGGCTTCTTGGCATGCTGGGCTTCGCTTTGCGCTCCTTGACCTCTTCTCGCGATACTCCAGGAACGTGCTCCCTGCGCTGAGCTCCAAGTCTATGTCCTCGTCGTCTTCGCTGCAATCAGTTGCCACACTCGCCGAGGGATCGTTGTCGCAGCGTAGGGGGGAGGCAGTGGAGGTGAGAAGTCTGTGGGCAGCGTTTGGAACTCCCAACAGGAGCGCAGCGATGCCGGGACACTGCCCATGGCTCCGTACAAGCCTGTTGCCAATACAGCCCGATTTGCGAATTTACAGAATTACATTCCTCCACACACCGACCGGGCTGCCCAAAGTAAGAAAATGCACAAGCAACGATGCATTGGAAGTTGTGTTGTTGTGACATGCTCGTTTTGTAACCGTCCTGCTACAGCTATCGTTGCACCCCGGAGCTGCCCAAGAGATGCAGTGTTAGCGAAACAGTTGAAACAGACGCCGCACAAAGCATCACCACGATCAAACCCCGGAACACAGCTGGCTGCACGCAGCCTTGACCCGTCAGGTGAGCCCGCATCAAAATGCAGAGCTTCCGTTCACAAACTCACAAGACTGGGCCTTCAGATGGCCCGAACTGCCGGCAACACAGGTGCGGGAACGACAGGGTCAACGAGCAACCAAAGGACTGAGCTTCTGTACTGCCAGTCGGAAGCGTCAATGGAGGGGTAAAGTACAGAGTTGGGGCAATCTAAGTCCAGGGCGCCTGACTTTTGGTGTCAAACGTGTGTTGTGTGACAGGCCGCGGCTGCTGGGAGCACCATGCCAATGAAAGCCAATGCACTACACTACAATCTCAGCGGCCTGCACATGTCGAGGTTTCGCTGTCCGTAAGAGCTTAGGCGCAACATCATAATAGGGCCTTAGTCCTCGGTAAACGTCCAAGCAGAGCCCTTGCATTGGTGCCTGTGACAGCCGGGCGCTCCCACCTGGCGCATGGAGGCAGCTCTGCGACAACTTACTTGGGATGCGCGGGGAGCTGAGAACACTCCAAGTCTTCCCCGCAAGTTTTTGTGAAGCTACAACTGGAAGGGCAGGGGCACCTCAAAGCCTCCCTTTTGCATGCCTTTTTCGCCCGCCGGTCGATCATCCCGGAGCATCCTTCTGCCAGCCACCTGGCGCTTAAACAAGACTCGGGCTCGCCCACGTTCACTCCGTGCTCCGCTTCTTGGACCTCGTGGCCTGCGTGATCATCGGACACGTGAGGGCTTCGGTTGCAGCTCGGCGATCGGCACTGTATGGCCAAGGAAAGTGACCTTTTTCGGCGTCTGCAGCGTTTGGCTTTTGTGGATAGAGTTGTTGACAACGTGTTGGTTGGTGCAGGCCCGTCATCCTATTCTGTAGCAGAAGCGGGTGATTGCGGGGAATGGACAAGCCTCAGCTTGTCTTCCACACTTCTCAAACACATGTACTGCGTGTTCACCAAAGTCCCGCCATCATACACAGCATGCCCAGTGAAAAGTCCAGCCGACATGAAAGCGGCATCTCCGACTCATGCTGAGCAAACTGGTGCTGGGCCCGTTTTCGACAAGGCTGACAACGTCCCATCCACTGCTGCTTCACGGCCTGCCTCGAAAGATCTACAGATGATTCAAACACTGCGGACCCTGTCGAACCGGCAGAATGTACGGGAGAATGCTGAGACTTTGGGACAACGCCAGAGTAATGGACCGAGATAAACGTCTCGTCGGCAGATCCTTGCACTCCGTGGCAACTCCTCATCTGCGCAGATGTCGGCCACCCCTCGAAGCTTGCAAACGAGGTTGCACTCCTCCATCAGCTCGCCATCCCCAACTTAGAAATATGTCTGGGGCGCGAAAAGGTGGAGCCTCTTATGCTGGCGATCAGTTCTCGCTGGAAAGCTTGGTATGGGCATGGAGGTCGAAGTGCAGTAATCCCTGGAAGTCTGCAGCCAAGCACTTTTCGCAAGCCACGTCTACAGTCTGCGACACCAGCCCCCAACAGTCGCAAGGTACCAGCCATCTTTTTGGGGTCCTCTGAAACGGGGCGTGAAGTGCAGCCGTTGGCAGTCTCAAGCCCGACGCCTCTCGCAAGCCACGTCAGGCAGCCGCATGGTCTCCATCCTCCTCATCCTCCTCCTCCTCCTCCGCCTCCTCCGCCTCCTCCGCCTCCTCCTCCTCCTCCAGCAATGGAAGGATCTCCAGGGTTTTGCAGGGGTCAGCCTGCCCTGGGATGCTGACGGGATCAGACGCGGCCAGTCGCCAGCTGGCGTTCCATGGAACGCCAGCTGGCGACTGGCCGCGTCTGATCCCGTCAGAATCCCAGGGCAGGCTGACCCCGAGTTGGCAACAGACCTCGCAGGTGTTCCCGCAGGAATGAGGCCTGGCGGGCAGCTTTCGCCACGCCAGGCGGCCCAGCGCCGCCACCATCGCGGGAGTGAGGAATGGTGGGGTGGTCCAGTTGCGGAAGCCCGGGAAGCTGCCAGAGCTGGTCGCCTACGTTCTTCTCCTCGTCCCCAAATGACTGGCCAGACACATCACCTTTGACCACAGGATCTGGATCAGGGAGTTCTGTGGATACTCCTTGCTTTTCACTCTTTTCCCCCTCCTCCGCTTCGACTCGCTGCCTGCACGGCCGGAGGTTTGGTGGCGTGCTGCGGCTTCGCTTCGCACTCCTGGACCTCCTCTCCCGATATTCGAGGAAGGTGCTGTGCGTGCGAAGCTCGAACTCCACCTCCTCACCGTCCTCTCCTCCGCTGGCTGCAGCACTGGTCGCTGCGGGCTCCGTAGAGTGTGGCGGGGGAGGAGGTGGCTCACTTGGGAAATCCCTGACCAGCTTCTGGCGCTCTAAGCAGCAGCATAGCGAACCGCCCATGGCTCCACGCAGGCACGATACTACGGAGGCAAGATATTTCGTCGATGTGTGGACCTCTTGATCACAGGGGCTGCATTCACGCGAAGCTGAGAACACTTTGGCACTATGACCTGTTATGCCATTCGGCTGTTGTCTACCTACACCTGAAACACCCAGCCCTTCCCTCCTTCCCTGTCCGCCTACGCGACTGCGTCGAATGCAGCAAGCACTTCACGGATACAAACAGGGCGGCGCGACATCAAAACATCGGACTCCCACAGGAGCTTCGACATGGAACCCTGCAAACAAGCGGGTTTCTTCATCAAAGCAACCATCCACCGTCAATGCTAAGCGCATTGCCTTCTCCATGGCCCTCCAAGGAAAATGCAGATGGAGGGACTCAGACCAGCAGTCGTGGCTGCAGACCAGCGAGAACGTAGCTGGAAGATGCATGCTTGAAACTTGACTTTGATGAGCATATGTTCGTTGAACTGCTGTGTCACTTAAGCTGTCGGTTTTGGCTGCCCCTCTTCGCCGAAAATCGCACTTTCGGAGTCTCGAGACTCTAGTCATCCAACTCCATCACGACGCCGGCAAGAGCAGCTGCCTGCAAAGACTGTGCTCAGTGCATCTAGCGGACGGAGAGATGGATGCGGTGTGCTCAACCGCTGTCAATGCCCACTCTTGGGGGAAGGAATCTTGCCTTCCCTGGCCGGACACGCACCTTCTTCTTTGAGGCCACCTGCGATCGTGGTCAACACAGCCTTCCTCATCTGCAAAATCAGGATCTACGCTGCGAGGATCCTTTTTTGTCCCTGCTGGTCTCACGCAGCAAGGCGCAGGAAAGCCGCTTCCTCGCAGACCTAATCGCCGCGCATCCCGCTAATGGCTCGGCCGATGCGAATCCTGAGTTGGGATTAAAGCTTTAGGTGTGCATCCAAGAAGAGTCCACTCAGTATCGAGTTTAGTTTCGCCAGCCCCTGCAGCGAGCGGCCATCATCATCGGCCAGCAACAGCCTTAGCACAACAGTTTAACAGGCGTGCGTGTACACATGGACACAAATGTAAACGGCTGAAAAGTCTTTGGCTTGACGCCTGTCATAAACTTCAAACTGCGAAATCTCCAACCTCTCACAAGCAAGTTCAGCCCAAGACCACTCGACCCTGACACTCGAAGACCCTTCCATGCAACCCAGGGCTTCCAGCTAATAGAAAAGCCAACGAGTGAGACGACACAGCAGAACACTTCGGGGCGACGGGGTTTCGGGAATGTGGGCTTCGGCTGAGGGTTGTAGCTTTGGGCCTAGGATTTAAACCCTAAGTCTAAAGATGAAGACTTGGAAGTTAGGTTTTCAGGAATTGGGGATCTTCCCGGTTTCCTCGTTTTCGCCAGTCCGGACCGGTTGTATGCTTGTTGACGTTCAGGGTCTGAGGGTCTAGTGGCAATCACAGACAGTGCCCTTAATTTACAGACTAGGTTTAGGCCTCTTTCTTTCTATTGCATGTCTGTACATGCTGATCATACGATTGGAAGCTATATCTTGGAATAAAGCAGAGAAGAAGATGTTTGACATTTTTTGACTAATGCCCAAGGTTGGCATGCAAGATCGGGCTACTAGTCTCCTAACCAAGGATGCCATGACTCGTCGGACGTACAAGTCCCGAGAAAGGGCTCGAAGCAGGATGCTTCCATTTTCCCCGTTTAGGGTTTAGGGTTTAGGGGTCTCCTCCATACTTTCTTGCCTCTTTGCCTTCGCCGATGCTCTTCTTTGATGCCAACAGCGTCCTTCCAAAAGAGTCCTTCCTTGTATTCTTGTGGTGGGAGGAAACGGCTAAGCTTTTCATGACGCATGAAACATAAACCTCACAGTCACATAGAAATAAAGGGTTGAGATTCAACGTACACATGGATCCATAAACTCCGTAAGCCCCGAACATGGGATCCCAGTGTCCTGCACCCCCAGACCCTCCAATCCCAAGCACAGAACTCCAAAAACCTTTATGTTTTCGCTTTTGGGTTTCGGCTGACGAGGACTTTGGGCTTGGAAGGGCTTCGTGCCACAGCATACTTCATTGCACTGTACACTGTACAGTCTTGTTGACAAGGTGCATTCCTACGGCTTCTTCTTCACCCGCGCCACACCGTTTAAGGCATTTTAGGGTTCTCGCTGTAACCCCCTAAACCCTAAACCCTAAGCCCTAAACCCCAAATCCCTAAACCCTAAACCCATCATGAACAGCAGTTGCTGCCTAGAGGCTGCAGCCAGGCATCTGTGCGCTTCGACGCCTGCCCAATCCAGAACTAATTCTTCTGCGAGCTATTACGAAACCCTAAACTTTCCTAAACTAACTTTATTTAGCCTTATTAATATAAACTAAACCTTATTAATCTACTTGAGGTGCTTGGGGCAGGCTTCCGAGCCTCCGCCGAGTGAAGCCAAGGTCGTGGCCTGACCTGAAACAGGCTCTTGGCTCTTGGGGTTTCGGGTTCAAGGTTTAGGGTCCTTAGGGTTTAGGGTTTAGGGTTCAAGGCTGAAGGTCCTTTTTTTTGTCACCTCTTTTCCACCTGGTTAAGTTAGGTCGAATGCCAATTTGGCGGAGGCTGTTGCCAGCTGCACCGGTACCCAAGCTACACTAACCTACTACCACCACAATGACTCATTCAGCCGTGCTTAAGGTCCTTAAAGTTTTGGGTTTAGGGATGTTTAGGGTTTCGGGCTTCACTTGGGCTTCCAGGGCTCCGGCTTCCGGGTCCTTGAGATTGGCCTCGCCATTCTCTGAAATTCCCCCCGTTTCCCAAACCCAGCAGCAGCCAAGGCACTGCCACAATTGGACAGACCTGGAGTGCAACAGCCAAGCGCGAGCATGGAAGGACGAGCAGAAGACCCTGGGACCCTGCGCCAGGCCGACGGAGATAGTCTTACGGAGTTGATTTCCCGCTCGACATGCCCCCCAAGGGCCTTTGAAATCAACTCCAGCGGCCAATCATAGTCGCGCTGGGAGACGGCCTGGAAACAAGCAGGTCTTGATGGTGCTGAGGTGCCGCTCTGGGCGACAAGCGTGGCTGCGAATATTCACCTGAAGCTGCGGGGCGTGGCCTGCAAAAGCTGCAGAAGGACCAGCTCAGCACCGGTGCTGCAGTGACCTCAGAGGACAGCGCCACCCCCAGAAAAACTACACAAAGAAAAGCAAGCCACGGCCATAACTCTGACCAGGAGCTCCTGCGCTGCTCGGACTTTTGGCGAAGGAGAGGCAGGACTCCGACCTGGCCCAGGCGCTCCGTCGGCGACGCCGAAGCCTGGTCACCAACCCCTGTGTCTTCGTCTTCTCGAGTGACTTATGCCCTCCGGTTCGGCCTCCAGGACGGCGGCGAGGCAAAGCTGGAGCAAGGCCGGGAATGAGATGGCCTACAAGCTTGGTCGAAGCTAACTCTGGCCCTGAAGCGCTCTCCGATGAGACCTCGGGGACCATTCCTTCACCGTCAACCACGAGCTGCCACACGTCCATAGTCGTGTCGAGAAGGGAGCATGACAGCACAGCGCTTGCTCCTGCAGTTGATACGATTGCGAGGCACTTTTGCCGTCAGGGTGTGCTAGTATTCCGTGGAATGCCTTGATCTGCTGAAAGTTGGCATCTCGGGCCATCTTCAGAGAGGAAGCCAATGATCTCATTGAGCAGGCTTCTGCTGGGTTGAGACGGCAGGGCTGGCAGTAGCCTGTGCGCAGCTAGCTGGAGATGAACTGATGAACTGCTCGCTTCTTGCAAAATCTTGCCGAGCCTTAGGAGCTCTTCAGCCTCTGCCGCATCGTAGCAGAGGGGGCGATCCCAAAGCGCTGCCTGACCCCGGCAATCAGGCAGTGCAAGATCCGAAGCGAAGCCGAAGGATGCCGAAGGTAAGCGTAAAAGCGAACCCCAAGGGTGCAAGGACATGGCACATGGCTTGAAAGAAGGCTCAGGGCTCCTCCAGCTCGGCCGCTGCGGATGAGTGTCCCAGCGAAGTCAGGGCCAAGACCGAGCGCAGCTGCGTCGAGGCGCTGGCTCCAGCCAGAGCCTCCACCGACCTCAAATAGCACACTCAGGCCCCTTCGCTCTGGGCCTGCATGCGAGGATTCAGGAGTTGAGCGGCCCGTCGATCATAGCCGGCGTCAATCCACTTGGTAGGAGAGCCGAAGCCTCCAGAAAGGCTGCGGCCGCCTGCGAAGCGGCTGGCGATTCACCTTACGTTGCCGGACATAGCTTCGAATCTATAGAGGTGACGGCGTGCACAGGCAGGCGAAGGCTAGTTGTAGGCACGTCACGGCCTCGACCAAGAGTCTGTGCAGTAGGCAAGCCAGCAGCGCTTGGCTCGAATGCTTGCGGCGTTTCGGCAAGCAGCCCCTGCCATGACTTATCACTATGACCCAAGGCATTTTGTCTCATCCAATGGAGATTTTAGGTTTCGCGTCAAACTGTCTCGCATCCAAGCTCCGAGCCAACCTGGCCGCAGATCCGATGATCCACTGTAACCCTGCGATAATTTCCTGACGTTAGAGCATGATTGTTACAAGCTGCATTACGACTCCGGGCTCCCTTAGACTGCGGCTGGCCTGACTGAGCAGGCGCACATCTCTTCGCCAGTTTAGGGTATCAAGTGGGGCCTAAAGACTTTCGGGTTAAAGGTTCCCAGCTCCTGCCTGCTGTGGGGCATCTGCTTGCAGCAGCGACAGAACGGGCTCGTCGTCGATGCCGAGCAGGGCCAGCATGCGAAAGAGTTCCTGGGCTCGGTCCCATCCATGGAACACTACTGAACACTACAAAATTTGGGGTCAGCGCGTGAAAAACCCATAACTAGCTCTTAAGCAGCCACCACCACTGACTGAGCCTGTCCGGGCTCAGGGGGCATGTCGTAGAGAGGGCTTGCGTGATTCGAGGATGTCGCGTGTGCTACAACTGTCCAGGTCGCTTCTCTTTAGGGGGAGGCCATGCGAACTGTGGTTGTCACTTGGCAACGGAATCAACGACGACAAGAATCAAACACCACAACGACAACAGCAGCAAAAACAACATCGGCAACAGCAGCAGCAGCAGCAGCAGCAGCAGCAGCAACCGGCAACCGACAACCGACAACCTTCAACCAGCCAGCAGCGAGAAGCAACCACCCCACGATCATCACCACCAGCAGCGGCAGCAACAAGAACAAGCACAAGGAGAAGAAGAAGACGAATAACGACAATATGGATAACAAGAAGAACACCAAGAACGAGAACGAAAATATTAATAACAAGAACGAGAAGAATAAGCATAACAAGAAGAACGACAAGAGCAACAACAGACCCCATCAGCCGAACTAAGAAAAGACTACTGCGCCTTAAACCCTTCAGCCCAAAAGAAGCCGAGGCTCCGCGCGACCCAAGTCGGAGATCTGCGCGAGGATCGGCCCGGCCGCTTCAACCACCATCCAGGCATCCGAAGGCATCACTAAACCTGATGAACTTGGAACACAAAACTGGGTGCTTTAGAGGGTTCGTTGATGGCCTGTTGCAAAAAGGCTTTGGGTTTAGGGACACGCGGAAGGGTTTTGAATGCTTCACACTGCCCCAAATACAGACACTCTTGTCGTACCGTAGTACCTCGACCGACCTCAGTGACTTCTGGAATGTCCCTGCATAAGCAAAAACTCGGCCATCTACGACCAGAATCGAACTGTCCTGGTGGCATCTTACCAAGTTACTGAGGCAGCAGGCTTGAAACCTGCTACTAGTTCGTGTACACACTCGGCCACGTAAAGACAAAATGCAAGTTGCGATGTTGCTTGAACAGATGGACCTTGAGGTGGGGGCGGGGAGGGGAGAGGAGGGGAGGGGGGAGGTGTCCTCCGCACCTCGTACAATACCGCTGCCATCTTGAAGGAAGTGGGGGCCCTCCGTCGTGCCTCCTGGGCTTATGGCTAATTACTGTAAGGATGCTGCGGAACTGCTCGGACCTGCTACTGGCACTGGGTGTCAGACCTGCATCTGCCAACACCCCAGCACTGCGACAAAGGAGGTCCACCGAAGCCGGCTTCTTGCTGCGTCTGCTCAGCGACTGCAACAGCTGTGAAGCTGGCGCTGCACTCCTTGCTTGGGAAATCGGCAGCCGGACACTGGCCATCGCATGCGCCAGGGCTGCGAGAAGCTCTGGGCTCACTTCGCTGAGCCTGCTGTCCAGGGACCTCACCCAGAGATCACGAAACGTTGATGCAGAGAGTCGCCCACAACGTCTGTGTGACCAAATAAGTACAGCAGCCTCATGAGCAGAAACTTCCACAAAAGGCAGCTGGGATTCCACCGCGTCGAACACGGCCTGTCCTGCATGACCAGCAGCAGCCGAGAGGCTGATGCAGGCATAGGCTGCAGTTGCCTGCGCCATCTCGGATGAGGAAAGGCCACCAGCTACTCTGACAATAGATGGAAAGCCATCATGCCAAAATCGTGCGTCGGGCGGCAGTGCTCCAGCCTTGCCCAGAAAGGCAGCAACAGCTGACACTTCACCGAGAGAAAACAGTGGCCTTGCATGCCTGCTTGCATTAGATGCCAGCACTGCCCGGATCCAGGAGGCGTAAACACCTGTTCGTGGCTCGACTTCCGCGCGTGCACACGACACAATGACAGCCGTTGCATCGATGGCATCTTCAGAAGTCTGCACCGTCGACTTCCACTCAAGCAAGCGCTTGCGCGCATCCGCCGCATGGCGCCACCACAAGTGAGTATCCAAGTTGCCCCGGCTCAAAGTCATTTCCACTGTCGCCCTGAGGCCACTCCAAGTGTCAGCAGCATCGCGGGCATGACGATGTGGCTCAAGGGCCCTGTCAATAAACTCGAAATCAATTAAGGCTCCTGGGCCCTTCCTCTGCAATGTCCGGCTGGATGTAACTGCTCTCTGGGGCTTCTCATTCTGCACGTCAGCTGCACCCTCTGCCTGGACCTGGGAGCTTGCGCTTCGGCGAAGCCACAAGCGAAGCCTCCGATGGTTCCAAACATTGCACAACATCACTCCCAACCAGTGCAGCAAGCATAGACAACAGATGAAACTACACACCCCTTAGCTAAAGACATGCTGATGCGCGAGGAACGTCGCGACACTCAAGTGTGAGCGGCAGGTTGTTGCTAGAAGAGCCATTGCAGCAGCAGGGACCTGCGTACAAACAGGGCTGCGACAGCCAGAATCTTGATAAAACCATCACGGCTCACTATAACAGTTGTCGAAGGTCCCACCCCCTGGATTCTCTGTCATTCCCGCCAACTCGCAAGTTGTCACAATACAAGGCCGACCTGAGATGGGGCCCACAAGCAGACCAGCTGCCGGCGGAGCTCTCCCATGCCAAGGAAGCCTCTAATTCTTGGGGCAACAGTGCACCGGGCACCTGGACCAAGTGTCAGCGTCAGCAGTCCTGTGGCCCTAGCGAGACTAGCAACTTTACCATCCGTGAAGTAAGGGGCAGTGCTCGACTGGGCAGGCTTTGGCTCTAGCAGCTCTGGCACTTGTTCAGCATGTTCTGCCAGCTGTCCCGTGCCTGCCCAACTTTTAAGCCATCGACAGGCTCAGTGGGAGATGGCGACCCCTTCCGAAGCAGAGCAGTGCCCAATATGTTGCAACATCGCTCTGTCTGCTTCGCGTCTCTGCAGTCTGAAGTCCAGCCTCGGGTGAAGCCGGAAGCTCCGGCGGGGAGCTGCCCGCCTCAAGGGTAGAATCTCATGCCCAATCTGGAGCTCTTTGCATGTCTCGTTGAATTTTGATGACCTGCTCGGTATGTCATTATCCGAAAAGTTCTTGAGAATCCACAGGCCGGCAAGGACGGTGTCGGAATCCCTCAAACCTCCTTAGGACAACAATCCTAACACAGCCATCCTGAACTCCCTGCCCAACACCCACCGGACGGACAGGCGGACCACAAAACAGAAAACCCCAAGCCGCGTGACTAAGGAAAGCGCGGAAGACACGGGCGACGGCTGCCCTTTCCGCCGTTTCCGGGGAGGAGCAGCCTTCTCCTGAAGTGGACACAACAAGAGGCTGTGACGTTTATGGCCGTCAAGTTGAGAAGCTACGCCTGAAAATCCTGACAAGAGCCCAGGTGTCCTCCACAATGTCGATGTCCTCCACCAAATCCAAGGACGGAGCCACAGCCTGCAAAAACGACGGGCGATCACGCAGTGGCCAACATCATCAAGACTGTGGCATTGCAACTGCTGCCTCCACGTCCTCTTCATCATCATGTTCCACACAAGGCACCTTCCAGAAGTCACGATTGTCTAGGAGGCTCAGTCTCTCTCATCACAATGATAAGAATCTATCGGCCACACAAATCCTCCATGTGAAGGCATGGCTGAGTCACCCACGAGACCATTCTTGGCATCCTCGACAGCCTTCCATGTCACAGCTGTTCTAAACGTACTCTTGGTCTTAGTGGATGACACTACAAAAGCATCATAATCCTGCTGTGGGAATAGCGGCATGGATATTTTCTAGTGACAGCCATACAGAAACAAACGATCGAGTCACCGAGCAATGCGAACAACGACATTGTAACCGAAACACCCAGAAACAGAGGGGGTAAGACACCGAACATCAATGCTACTATTAAGTAGCAGTCGTCATCGTCATCGCAGTAATAGTCGTCGACGTCGGGTCTTTGCGGCCAGTTCTGACCCCCCGCAGAACTAATCAAGGACAGGATAGCACAGGTAGGGGAAAGGGAAAGAAAGAGAGAAAGGGCCGAGAAGAGAAGAATAGGATGAGGACGGAAGGTGAGAGCTGACCTACAGCAATGAACAGTTCGTGCTCAAACAATAGGACTCCGAACGACCTGGCAGAGACACGATGCGTTGATAGATCGATAGATAGAAAGACGGATGGATAGACAGACGAACAGACAGTCAGACAGGTAGGTACTAGGTATAGATAGAAAGATCGGTCGCTGGAGCGAATATAGCGAATCACCTGTCATAGGCGACATGTCACAATCTTGCCTTCTGCCTCGCTTCGGCACGCTTCTTTCGCTCGGCTCGCGCCTGCTCAAAGCAGCAACTGTCTCCAGCAAAATTTACTGTAAGGGGCCAGCAAATTCTGCAAAATGTCTGTGTGTCACTAGCTGGCCGCTTATTGCTTTAACTTTAGCCTATGATTCCAAGCCTTAGTCATGTTATACCACATGCAACAATGACGCAGCAGGGTTGAATTTGTCCACGGCACTATGATCACTGCGGCGTGGGTGCCTTGGCTGCCTCGACTTCTCTCTCTGCCTTCTCCTGCGAGGACAATACAGCCTACCGTGTAGGACCCACGCACACGGAGAGACTTTGGAACGTGCATCAAGGTCGAGCATGGTACCAGCAGGAAACCCCAAGAATCTGCTGTCGCGATAAAGGTCTGTGTCGTGGCTCCTTCGCTAGGCGCTCAGCTCGGGCTTTTTCTTTGGCCTTGAGTCTTAGAAGCGTGGGATATTTGCCGACACATTGCAGATCTGTACAATGTGCAGAAGCAGGTCCGTGGGAATTCAAGGAGTCAAGTGGCACGCGGCTCGGGACTCTGATTTACAAGGCTCCTTGGCAGGCCCATCCGGCTCAGTTCCGCACGAGTTGTCTCTCTTTCCTGGACGACAGGTCAGTCAAGCAAGAAGCAGTTGCTCTTGTACGGCTCTTCAGGGCCCATCAATCATTTCCAAGTCATAATCTCCCAGGTCCCATGACGGTCCTGGCTGCCTTCTCCTTTTCAGCAGCCTCCTCCCGTTCCTTCTCCTGCACTGGTCGGGCTCGAAAACTCAGGGCGGCCAGAAGTAGACCGTCCTCGCGCTCACGGGCTTCGCGCTCAGCTTGCTCTTTGGCTCTTCGCTCCTCCTCCTTCCAGTGCGGGCGCATTTCAATTTCGCGCGCGGAGTCTTGAAAAGGTGCCCTACCAGTAGAGGACTCTGTGACGAGTCGCAGACTCCTTCCGCTTCTTCTTGTCGCCTTTTCGGGGCTTGGGCTTTCCGGTGCCCGGTGGGCCCAGTCCAAGACTTTCGCGCAGGAATGCGTAGGTCTGCAAGCAAGTCAGTGTCTTCGGAGATTCGTGGATCCTATGCCACCTATGCCTTCTGTCGAGTGCCGGGCCTGCTCCACAACAGCATCCCGATTTCCACGCGTCAGCTTCACAACACCTTCAGCCCTAGACCACAGAAGTTCGAAGTCTCGAACCAACTCTCTAAACCGAAGCCCAGCTTCCCGAGCTGCGGGCGCGCGCCAGGGCTCTTTTTGATCTCTTCGACAGGTTCAGGGTCACGCTGACCCTTTGCCTTTCACCAAGCAACCGCCGGGGAACAGCTTGGTCCTGCTCGCCCACTGCGGATGAGGTGTGCACCATCTGCACCCCGGTCGCAAGCACGGTGTCCTCAGTGAGCCGGAGTCTGGCTTCCACCCTGATTCGGAGACGAGATGCTGAGGAGACGACTTCCTCCAACACCCGAGCCAGCGTCTTGGGGAATTGAACGGACAGTAGGCCCATCTTGCCCACCTCTCAGGTGCTCTACATCCAACTATACATGCCATGACCCCCTGGACCATCCATCCTCACTTGCTGGTCTTTCTTATCTGTACGTATGCAGGCAATGTGTTCAAGGCATTCCATACATCAGCAGTCTTTAAATGAATGGAACGGGAAGTAGGACGGAACTAAGACAAATTGGGATTAGTCAGGGGAGATGCCAAGAAAGCAGGGGAATCTCAACAAACATTGGTGAAACCTACAGGCGAACACCTAGGAAGACAACACACAAAATAGGAAAAAGGTTACAGCCAAGTAAGCTGAGGATGCATTAGGAGGATTAACATGAAACAGTGGCATGGTTCTAATTTCATTAAACTGAATCCTGGCTTTCCGTATGTGGATCCCTTGTCTAAATGTGGATCCCATGTTTCCGTACTCATACCCGCAATGTCGCAATTTACCACATCGTGTGCATCTACCTTTGAATTCCGGATCCACGGAACTACCATGTCCCAACACATCAACTTCCCACATCCCAACGGCCACTCCCTGTGCCCGACATAACCTCAGTGGGCCTCGTCCACGACGCAGAGACGAGGAACAGGTTCCTCCTCTTCCTCCTGGCAGATGATCCCCGATGGCGGATGGCTCAGCTGGCCTGTGCGCTCTCCAACCCATAACTAGCCGAATGGAAACCCTGACGGCTTTGCGGGGCAAGTTCAGGTAATCTCGAAATGCTGGCCGCGCACCTCATCTTCAGGCTTCCACCCTTCTGGGACCTGGCATGGTCTCCTTTAGAATAGAGTAGATTATACACCGGTACAAACCGATGTGATATAGAATACTAAAGTAGTATACATACAGTGCAAGATAATACGACATGCCAAACTATCCTACAATATAGTATGGTATTATCCAATATGACAACTGATACATTTAAATATAGTACAAGTATATATATATATATATTTACTTATTTATTTCTTTCTTTACTTATTTATAGATAGATATAGAGGGAAAGAGATATATGTATATATATATATATATGTATATACAAACGCTAACGGCCCCCCCTCCGGTATCGAAGATTTCGGCTTTATGCCAGCTGATGCTTTTCTTAAGTCGGCCGAGGGGTGGGGCATTTCGCAAACATGAGCTAGCCATGAATGAATGAAGGTTGTGTCAAAAGAGCCGACAGCAACTTATATGTTTGCTTGAGCATCATGAGCAAAGTTCGTACAGCAACAATTTTTCTCCAATAAAGTTTTGAATCATAGGCATGAAGTATAGCTTTGTGCGTGATAAGCAAAAATAACCAATGAAATGGTGTTCGCACAGCAACGTCCTCAAGCCGAGATTATCACCTAGTTTGGTGTTGGACAAACTATTGAATTCTAATCGCAAATTGCAGCAACACCGTATTGAAATACATACCTGTGGAAAATGCTGGCGAAACCAACATTTTCCACCATCTCCATGAACTTGGAGAAACCTCGGGAGCCGGAGCCATAGTTTCGGGAAACTTGGAAATTGTTGGAAAACCAACATTTCCATGATTCTCCACAGACAAATCATGGAACATGTTGGCTTTACCAACATGTCCAACAGCTTCCATGAATTTGGAAAAACCTCGGGAGCAAAAACCATAGTACCGCATGAACTTCGAAACATCCGGAGCCAGAAGTACAGCAAACCCTAAACTAGAAGCCTTGGGAATCAGCGTATAGTAAACAAGAACACGCTTTCGCAGAGATGCCCCGACAAAGGGACACGAACACATATCAGGAGAAAACCTAGGTACCGGGCGCGGAGGGGGGGGTAGGGCGGGGTAGGGGGGGTAGGGGGGGTAGGGGGGGTAGGGGGGGTAGGGTGGGTAGGGAGAGGTAAGCTGGGGGCGGGGGGGCCTGTTATTCGCGCGTAGGATCCGCACACGGTTGCAGCCCGTTGGATGCAAACTCACAAACTAATTGCAGGTTTGGTTCATAATTGTACACTATTAGTACAATATAACAGCCGACAATGTCATATATAATGACGTGTAAGAAAGCATCATACCGTGGCATGTAATACAGTAGAATGAAGAATCTACAGTGCAGTATTCAAGAACATAGCAGATTACATAACAACAAATTATCTCATAGTATCTTAAACCTCATGAAAGCATGATGTTAGAATATCAGAAAAGGGCGCTGTGCAGAATCACCGAAGACGCTTCAACAAAAAAACATGTCTGCAAACACCGAAAAGCCCGGTCCACCAGGGCTCCACCTGCCTGTAATACAATATGATAAAGTCTGCTATAATGGAAGAGTCTAGCGTTTCGGGCTTAAGTCTGCTCTAATGTAGTACAATACAATACAGTCAAACCTAAGAAAGCATCATATAACATGATACAACATGATGCAACATTGTAAAGTACGGTATAATACACTACAGCATAATACGAAATAGCATGACGCAACACAAAATACTTTCGAATAACATGAAAGAAATAATATACTACTATAAGGTGTCACTGTGCCCTGGTGCAGACATCCGAGATCCGTTTACAATGATTGTTATGCTAGTGCCCCTCGCCTGTTTCTTCTCATCCTGCAGTGGTCCGGTGAAACTAGGACATAGTTCCGTCAACAAGTGCATTTTTGCATGCTGAACCATTTGATCTTTGCATGCTGACATTCGTCATCACGGCAGCTGCATGTTGGGAAGCGGGATGGCCTTCTCGTTGGTCTCCAATACACTTACCAAGGCATTTCAAGGCATTTCTGAAGGCAGGTTGGCGTGGTCCACTGCAAACTCTCTTTCTGAACGTCGCAAGCGCGTGACGCAGTCCTTCACAGACTCGGACACTCAGTAATGTTGATTTTCCATCACAATGCTGTGCTGCGACTTCTCTATGATGGGCTCGTGCATATTATCTTCCGTCTGCCATTCAAAGATGGCGAATCGGCTCCTTGCTGCGGCACCAGGACACGAGCTCTGAGGTGTTGGCGAAGGTCGAGGGCGCTTCCTAGTCTCCGGCACGTGCCGGCTTTGGGCTTTCAAGAGGTCCCGTGGAGTCTGGCTACTTCGCTTAGATTTGACCAGCACTGTTTTTGCTGAATCTTGTCGAGCGTGGTGCCTCACTGAGGCACCACGCTCGATAAGATGCAGCAAAAACCTGACAATTGTCAGATTTCCATAGGCCGCTGCGTAGAAGAGTGGTGTTTGTTGGTTGAGGTCCACCTCCGCCAGATCAATGCCCCTCCACGGCACGTCTGCCTAAAATCTCGCTCCCCCTGCGCTGTCGTACTGTTATGAAAAACAACACATCCTGCCGAAGCTGGATGTGACGCCAGCTGACGTCGAGCCTCTTTGGCCTCTGTGAAGCTGCCATCACGCGCCGTGATTCATCTCGAACAAAGTCTTGAGCCTAAGAATCTTACAGAGGTGGCTCGGTGTTTGGCTCCACCTGCCCAGGCACCCACAAAACACATGCCTGCACGATCCGCAACCATGGGTTCTCGCATTCCCAAAGAAGTGATTCACTTGGATGGATGGACCCCAGAGAAATTCCAGAATAAAGACGGGAAGAGGCAAGAAAAAACGACAGCACCGCAACTGAGGCTCCACCCGCAATATGATGTAACATAATTTGATAGAACATACTGTGATACAATATGATATGATATAACACAATACAATACCATTAACTTCAATATGATATAGTACGAGATACTATAACATAGCAGGGCATAGCACGATGCGATATGATAGTATGTAGTGCAATACAATACAATACAATACAAAAATTGTTATGTGATCTGATACCATACGAGATGATAGAACAGGCTATAATGCAAGATCAGACCATACAAGAAAAGACTATATAACATAACAGAGCTTTGTAGCATGGCAATATCACCAACTACAGTGTAATGCCTAGCATAGGGCTGGCAACCACCAATCCTCTGCGGGCCTCACGAAGCGAGGAAGGTGGCACATTCAGAACCTTAGCGGCGGCTCGCGTGCCATGTGCACTTATCTCACCACAGGTTCCGTGTGCCATATCCTTGCTAAGCTTGTTAAGCTCATGGTGTCCCTTTTGGGAGGGATCATGCTATGAACATGAGGATCCCAGTAATTTGGGATTTTAAACTAGGATCCCGCCATCTTCTGAAACTCCCAAGTGGCCTCGCCAAATTCGAGACGTATGCGGCTGTTGGCACCTTCCTGCCCGACAGCACCAATGCAGTCGACACCAGGAGGAAGATAACATGGCTTGAGGGTTTAGTTTTCTGGGGTTTAGGCTTGGAAAAAAGACAATAGAATGTGGTAGTACATTATAAATTCAGAATGGTACGATCTGATATTTTATTCTCAGATACGATATAGCACGATGTAGTATGGCATAAAGGATGAAATACAACAAAAAGACAAAACAATGAGATGCACCATAAGATAATATAGTAAAGTAACAACCAAAATCAGGACAGCCGAGGTCACAATCGTGCCATAGCAAGTAGTAATAGCTACAACAAAAATAAGACGAACATCCAAAATCATGACCAACGCATTTACAGTAATAGCCGTGATTAGCAATTTGCTAATAATGCCAATAAATATTACGACAGCGACAACAACAACAGCAGCAACAGCAACAACAACAGCAACAACAGCAACAGCAACAACAACAACAACAAACATAATAATGATAATGGCAATGATAACAGTATCAAGGCTATCATACTGATAGGGACAGTAATAACATGATAGGAATGATATAACCACAAACACAGCATGCTATACTAGTTCTAGAACTACGAGTGATGTAGCACCAAGATATGGGAGGTAATGATTTTCACCATCATCACAATACCAGCAAAGATTTAGCCAATAAACAGCAGCGGTAACTACAAAATGTACACCATTATACGCATGAGAACAAAATGCTCATATCAATAATGTTCATAGTGAAATAACAATAACAACATAGTAGCAACGATGACAATAACGACACTCATGACATAAAAAACGCTAATCATAATAATGTAGGCATAATGATGATAAGAAAAACAACAGCGATACTATCATTGAAACCGCTATATCTGTATACAAGCAGGAAAGACACTGATTTGATTAAATTAAAGTGATACTGAAAGGTAAAAAGGAAAGCAAATCACTCAACCATTCAATGAACGAACACATAAATGCATAGTCCCAATAAAGGAAGAAGACTGGCTACATAGAACTATCATAAGCCATCCTCTGACCTCCTCGTCGGTTGGCTCGTAGAGAAGGCTAACGGCCTGCCACAGGGAAGCTTCTTAAGGCTTGATGCGAGCTTCAACACAACAGGGGACTCCAATAGAGAACATGAGGAGTATGATATTATAGAGGGACAGCTACGCGGATTCAAGGAATACGGTTCCGGTTCACCTTCTCCGTGCCATCGGACAACTTGAAGAGCCGCGGATTCTCTGGAAGCTGGAATTCTTCCTCCGAGCGTTCGCTGCTTGCAGCGATGCATGGCAACGAACAGAACACAATTCATGACTCCGAGTGCGCAAATTCTAGACACATGGCCACCCACTAAAATAACGGTACCAAGTCACCTTTCAATTTCACCTCTACTTCTCCGCCGTCCTCCTTTGGAGGCTCCAGCGCAGGAAGTGCAAACGCCTTCGGACAAGCGACTGTGCGACTCTGGTCGAAAACTCATGGTGGGTTGCTCCAGGAGTTTGCTTTCGCTACACGTGCTGCCGGGTGTGCGGCAGACATTCCGACAAACAGGAATGGGCGATTCTGTCGACAAGCATTCGGACGGTCTCTTGACCTTACCTGACCACCTGCCTTCGGTGCATCCAAGAACTCGTGTCCTGCAACAGGCCTCGAAAGCAGCGACGTCAACGCTGTACTTGCCCACCGTTGGTGGTGCCTGTCCACGGCACTGAATCCAAAACACAGGGTCGGAACCCAAACGGCAAAAAGTCGGATCAGCAAGACCATCAACAAACAGCACAATAACTGGAACGGTGTGGCGACGACGACGATAGGACTGGCTTGGAGTCTGACAGGGCATGTCAGTGGTGGTTTCACAGCTTCTGCCCGCAGGATCTTCAGATTCCAATCGAGGTTCCCACACAAATCCCCTAGTTGTCTGCGCTTCCAATGCCAAGCCCAGCCCGGCCCCTTCTGTCCCCTGCCTCCACCACAAACCTCAAAGTCCGGATTTTCACCACAGCGGTGTCTCGTCAGAAGGTCAACATGGTTCTATGCTCTCGGGAGCCAGACTCTTAGTCTTAATCCTCGCAAATCCACCCCGACTGCTCGACTCCCAATTCTACGGGATCGCCAACCTTTGGGTTGGGGAAGTGACTCCGCCGTCTCCAGACACCACACCGTTGAAGATTCATCCTAAGAGCATCGGGTTCTGAAGCCATTATGATACGGTGGCACGCCTGGCTGGTTTCCGCACCCTGCGCCAGCTTTCCAGCTGTGCTTCATTCAATGCATGAAATTTCCGACGAAAGTAGCAGAAGCTAGCTCCAGCCTACTTCTCTCATTCAGATGATAGACACGCACAGCCTTCCCCTCCCTGGCAAGGACACTCCGCGTCTGCTCGTCAGGCTCTAGGCAGCCTGCGGCAAGCTAAGTGCTTCTGCAAGCGCACTTCTGTTCCCCTGTACCCTCAAATAGGGGTATATGGTCTCGAGCAGTGGGTCTTTAGGGTCTAACAAAGGGCAGATGGAGGGTCGTGGCAGAGAGCGTGTGCCTACACGCACGACATCGAAGCCCAGTCGCTGCTTGGGGTTCCTTGGCTTCAGCGGTCGGAATTCATGCAGATCAGATCCAATCTCGGTGACAAGTCCAAGTGGGAAGAGCTGAGATGTCTTTCGGGACAAGGCGCGCTGGATCTCTGACCTCTTCGGTGTAGAAGCCTGAAGCAGCAGGGTTCCTAAACCAGACATGGTTTTGGGGTCCACTCCTACGTCGTCTGCGCAAGGGAAGATCTTGAGCTGTCGATTTCGAGACGATTGCACACTGACGAGCTTGGATCCGGCAAGATGCTGCAGGAAGCCAACTGCGAATCAAGAAACCACTGGATCTTAATCGATTCTGTCTTCTGGGGATTCTTCTAGAGTCTGGAGGCTCTCAAATTGTGGTAGGATGCGCACCTCGCACATCCACACCACCCTCTCCATCTTCCTCCAAGAAGGAGACATGGGTCATGAAACAACAAATCATCTCTGGTTTGTCCTCGCGCAGCTTCTCCAGCAACTTGTGCACTAGAGTCGTCTTGCCCACTCCAGGCTGGCCTGGGCATTGACCCAATGACATTGCAATACATTATTAGATTAGCCTACTTTTTGATGATTCACGAAGAGATTCTCGCTCTTGGCATCGCTTGACTTTTGCCCAGCTACTCGCGATGAAGATGTGCTTAGGCTGCTTCCTCCAGAGCTTCTGCATGTCTCCTTTCCGCTACTTGCGCTATTGGAAGTCCCAGACGGTCCTGGGCTCCTCTTTGGGGGCCGCCGGCGTCTCTCCTTCTTTGGCCTCCTGGCACAGTCTTTGAAATCCAAACTCAAGCCCAGAAGGCCCCAAATCTTTGGCCTCTAACTTGGCTGGCGCCGTAGTGGCTGCCTGGCTCATGAGCATCACAGAAGCCCGTTACAGCTGTTGGATTCCTGGTGCCCATACGGCCAGCAAGAATTAGCGATTTAAGCATGCGGGGCGTCAATGCCTTCTGCTCGGAGAAACTTGTATTCAATTCTGATCTTGCAAGAACTGGCAACTGAGCGACAGGAAACCGTCAAGACAGCAGGTGCCTCTGCCGGAGCCTCCTGCGCTGGTGGCTCCGACGCCAAGGTGTCGAACTCCTCCTCGGAGATTCGATGGCTGCATGGCTTTTGGGGACTGGATATCTGTCAACTCAGCATGCGGCGAGCTCGCCGTACCCATCCCATCCGTCACCGAGATCTTTTTGCACCGGAAGGTCGTAGTCGTCCTCCCAGTCTTGCGCCTGCATTGCAGATTCCTTCTCTTTCACCCACACGACCCTCCACAATCCAACCGCATGGAGTGCTGCTTCAAGTTTTGGTACTTGGTGGAGCCCCTCCCGCAGGGCAGATACACATCTACTACTGCGCGTCGTGGTGGAAGGCATAGCTTACATGTTGGCCAGCACTTGTGCACGGAATCATTTCCTCACGACACATCCACCGAACAACACGGTACCAGTTCTGAGAATCAGGCAGGCGCAGATGCAGACGGAGGCTGCACTTCCACAGCAACCTGAACATCATGAATTTACCGGCTTGCGATTGGCAGATGCGAACCGGAGACCACTGGCGAGATCAACTTAAAAATCCGACTAGTTGTGAAGTCTTTTTGTTCTCAAATCCAGCCGTCTTTTTGGCCGGGGCTGCTGCTTGTGAAGGGGATGCATCCTCGCCTTGTTGCAGTGAGATAGGCAATTGTGAGAACCCCATGAACATGACTATAGCTCGCCCCGCCACTGGGGGCATGACTAGGTGCAGGTTGTGTTGGAAGATTCTCCTCAGGACATGCGAAAGTACATCTCTTAGATGTTGCAAGGAAGTGAAGTGGCAAGACACGGGGCAACACCCAAGATGTATCCACTGCTTCCCAACATTGCAAAAAACGCCGAGAACTATCCAGAACAACAGCAGTTCCTGCGGTGGTGACCGCGTGAGCAGCGCGGCCGCGCCGCCCTGCAAAAACACAAGGCGCGGGCACGACTGTCGAGTTGAATCTGCCAGAAAGCCCCTCGTGAGTGACTGCATGACTGCGCAGCTGTGGCTGGTTCCGGCATGTGGTCGCACGCCCAATCTGCTGCTCATGCCCGTGTAACATGTGAAAGGTAACCATCACATCACTCAATGCAGACTCCGCTGAATTTGGGATCCGCAAAACACCAGAGCTCTGTTCAGTGGACAGATGGAGGAAGGCCAGAAAGTGGCGCTGGCCTGAGGCGGCGGCCGTGTAAGCAGCGCTGCCGCGCCGCCCTTTGCCAAAGACAGACCAAGCCGTGCATCTTGCATCCCGTGCATGCTGTACTGAAAACTCGGTGTCTCGAAAACCAGTCTTAACGGATGCAGTAAAGGGCGTGGATGGCACAGCCATAAGGTCCTGCGGCGGTGGCCGCGTCAGCAGCGCGGCCGCGCCTGCCTGCACAAAGAGAAAGCACAGGCACAGCTGTCGCCCATACCGGAATCTGCAACATATTCCACCGTCCACGCTGACGATTGTCACAGCAACATGTGCCATGTTTTATTCCACAACACAACACACTTTCGAATAGTATGAAAAACATACTATAACACAAAGGTAGTACAACTTGAAGACTTTTGATATGAGGTGTGACTTTGCCGTGGTGCAGACATCCGAGATCCGTTTACAATGATTGTTGTGCTAGTGCCCCTCGCCTGTTTCTTCGCATCCTGCAGTGGTCCGGTGAAACTAGGACATAGTTCTGTCAACAAGTGCATTTTTGCATGCTGAACCATTTGATCTTTGTATGCTGACATTCGTCATCACGGCAGCTGCATGGTGGGAAGCGGGATGGGGCCGATGCAGAAACCTCGAAGCCAGCTTTCGTGTAGCACTTTCGCGTTGGTCGCCAATACACTCAGGTTTACCCCTGAAGCAATAGGCCGCCTAAGCCTTTGCCCTGGTGCCCGCGGTCAACCTTCACCTGCCCGATCGTGAGCTCCTGCTCTTCATATTTCGAATACACATCCATGTTTGTCGTTTGTGATACTGCAGTTAACGTGAACGAGGAGGGCTTCAAAGCGCTTGCCAGCTCCTCAACACACGCCACATGCTTGTCCTCCGCCTTGTCATCCACTACCACACCCACTAGAGTTGCTGCGTCCTTTGTAGTGAGGGTTTCGCACCAAGGCATTTCTGAATGCAGGTTGGCGTGGTCCACTGCAAACTCTCTTTCTGAACGTCGCAAGCGCTTGGCGCAGTCCTTCACAGACTCGCACACCCAGTAATCCTCATTTTCCACCACAGTACTGTGCTGCGACTTGTCTATGATGGGCTCGTGCATACTATTTTCCGTCTGCCATTCGAAGATGGCGAATCGGCTCCTTGCTGCGGCACCAGGACACGAGCTCTGAGGTGTTGGCGAAGGCCGAGAGCGCTTCCTAGTCTCCTGCACGTGCCGTCTCTGGGCTTTCAAGAGGTCCCGTGGAGTCGGGTTACTTCGCTTAGATTTGACCAGCACTGAGGCACCATGTTCGATGAGGACGTTCACCACATCCATGTGAGAATTGTTGATACCGTAAAACAGGGCAGTCTCCCTGCAGCTGTCAGGCCAGTTGACAGGGCAGTCTCCCGCCAGCTGTCAGGCCAGTTGACGTGGAATCCCAGACTCAGCCAAAACCTGACAATTGTCAGATTTCCATACGCAGCGGTCCACCTCGGCCAAATCAATGCCCATCCACACCGCCTGTCTGCCTAAAATCTCGCCCCCCCTGCGCCGTCGTGCTGCTATGAAAAACAACACATTCTGCCGAAGCTGGCTGTGACGCCAGCTGACGTCGATCTTCAAAAAAACCTCTTTGGCCTCTGTGAAGCTGCCATCGAACAGCTGATCTCCATTCATCTCGGACAAGTCTTGAGCCCAAGAATCTTACAGAGGACGCATTCTTTGATGGGCATCTTACAATCTGCTGCTCATGCCCGTGTAACATGTGAAAGGTGACCATCACATCACTCAATGCAGACTCCGCTGAATTTGGGATCCGCAAAACACCAGAGCTCTGTTCGGTGGACAGACGGAGGAAGGCCAGAAAGTGGCGCTGGCCTGAGGCGGCGGCCGTGTAAGCAGCGCTGCCGCGCCACCCTTTGCCAAAGACAGATCAAGCCGTGCATCTTGCATCACGTGCATGCTGTACTGAAACTCGGTGTCTCGAAAACAACTGTTAACGGATGCAGTAAAGGGCATGCATTGCACAGCCATAAGGTCCTGCGGCGGTGGCCGCGTCAGCAGCGCGGCCGCGCCTCCCTGCACAAAGAGAAGGCACAGACAGCTGTCGCCCATACCGGAATCTGCAACGAAGCTTTTCATCGTCATCTAGATTACATGAACACGCATTCTTTGATGCGCATCTCAGCTTCATTTTATTTTCTGAATGTGTATGTGACCCATCTCTGCGATACCATGGCAAGCATGCCCACACCCGCCTGTACAATCTGCTGCTCATGCTCCTGTAACATGTGAAATAGATCACTCAATGCAGACTCCACTGCATTTGGGATCCGCAAAACACCAAAGCTCTGTTCAGTAGACAGAGCGGAGGAAGGCCAGGAAAGTGGTGCTGGCCTGAGGCGGCGGCCGTGTAAGCAGCGCTGCCGCGCCGCCCTTTGCCAAAGACAGACCAAGCCGTGCATCTTGCATCCCGTGTATGCTGTACTGAAAACTTGGTGAATCGAAAACCACTCCCGGCCAGAGTTAACGGATGTGGTAAAGCGCATGGATTGCACAGCTAGTAAGGTCCTGCGGCGGTGGTCGCGTCAGCAATGCGGCCGCGCCTCCCTGCACAAAGAGAAGGCTCTCGCCGATCCGTTACTGGCACCCAGACAGGACTGCTAACAGCTGGCAAACGCTGCAACTTCGTATGTCACCATGGCAGAAACTCTCTTTAGCTCTTTTTTGCCCTAACTGGGCCCCTGCAAACTCTCCTCGAAAGCTCCCAGAAGCTGCAGGCTTCGATCTTCCAATGCTCCCGAGCCTGCGGCGGGCGTGTCGGCGCCGGGCCGCCCTGTCGGCTCACATGAACTCACTCAAAGGCTATGCACCTAGGGCCTTGACAGTCTTGATGCAAGCTTCGGACAGATAATTCAAGGTAATTTCGCGGCTCTCTTCCTAGATACGGAAACCTGAAGCCACACGAACCAAGAAATGTCCTAGACATCAGAGCCACATGTTGAAAAGACATGCGCTAGACAGTCGCGTTGACGAACTATTGGAGGGGATGCCTGGTACATTAGTCTCAGACACCCGATTGATGCTTTCATGTGCATATCTGTTCTTGGACTCGAACGAAAAGTTACCAATATTAATATTAATATTAACTCGAATATTAATATTACTACTAAGATTAAGATTAACTTTTATTCTAATATTAGTATTACTACGAATAATAATATTCATATGACACACAGCTCTCCGATTCTCGTCGATGGTAGCACTTTAAGCCCTGTTCCATCCAGCAGTTCCTGTGCAGGCGGCCGTGGCGGCACTGCCACGCCACACTGTGCCGAGTTCTGGCAGCTTGCAGGGTCGTCTTTGGATCTCATGATCTCCACTTTATATTACAGTATATTATAGTATATTATAGTATATTATAGTATATTATAATATATTATAGTATGTTATAGTATGTTATAGTAAGGAAGTTGAGGCGTTGGAGGATCCTTGTCTGTTTCAGCCTAAGGCTCTGTTCAGATGTCTGCCGTGCACTGCAGCACAGGATCGCAAACTTAGAGGCGGGCACTGACTGCCTTTTGCGAGCTTCTTGCACATCTAGTAGGAAAGCGTAGGACAGATTTACAACTGCTGAGATTCGACGCTGGCCGAAATCCGAAACGCTGCAGGTCCTGCGGGGGCGGCCGTGTCAGCAGGGTCGCTGCACCACCCTGAGCACACTCCACAAATCATGGAAGATAGTGGCAGTGACGATTCAAACCTGGGTGATGCTGCTGCACCGGCACAGGCATCAGAACGACGCAGAGCTTGTAAGCGATGCCTACTTGCGATGTGCGCGGGGCGGGGATTTCGCATGAGAAGAAACATAGCATGACGTGAGGTGTCGGGCGTATGCAACATGCTCCCTGCAAGTTGTAATCCTGGAATCCACGTCCATTCAGTCCGGCTGCTCCGGCACGTTGTGACAAGGTTTCTACGACTGCATAGCAAACATAACAAAAGGTCGTTGCAGTCGAGAGTCCTGAGTCATGGCCGCAGGGCACGGCAAACGGCACAAGTCAACTTTGCCGAATCTTGTGTCTGCTGGTATGGTCTGGCTGGGATGATGGTGGCGGTTCGTCACGACGGTTGTCCTGTAGCTGGCTTATAATTATGCCGGGCCTGGGTCAGGCTTCTGTGAACATCTTGCAAATATCCACTGGCAGCTTCGTTGCGGCTCTTAGACGAGACAAACCTCGACTCCTGAAATCATCACTTTCGATGTGTTCTACTCTGTCCTCCTGGGCTAGCGGCCGGAGTGTGGCAAGTGGGAGGCACACGACAGTCCTCTGACTAACCCGTGGCCATTTGTCTCGGGAACGATGGGACCGACTTCGACAGATATCAACCACGGATTCCGACCGCCCTGAACACCCCCAGCTCAAGAAACCAATACTACAGCTGGCTCTTCTGAGTGTGGACGCCTTCCCCGGCACAAACCGCAGACTCCCATCGCCCCACGAATACGGCCCAAGAAGGCCCGGGCCGCTTTGATCAGAAGAAAATGTGTCACTTTTTCACCTCTCGCACCCGCTTTGTCACCTCCTCAGCTCAGTCTTCCTCCTCCTGGCTCAAGTCATCGAGCAACGCTATATAGTATATATAGTAAATATAGTATATACAGTATATATAGTGTGTGTATATATATATAGTATCTTATATAGTATATAATATAGTATATTATATATATATATAGATAACTTGGATCTTTGGGCCTTGCCTCTTCAGCTGCGGCCTGAACAGCCACGGTGTCCAATTCGCGCTGGCCCTCCTGGAAGTGGGGGATCATGGGACTTAGTAAGGAAGGTTGTAAGGCCCTTGAAGGGGCCTTTGAAGGGTTCCTTATAAAGGGTTCTATGAGGGCCCCTAATTGGGGTTATAAGGCCCCTTATTGGGATTATAAGTATAGTTACCCTAGTTATAACCCTACTTACTAAGTCCCATGATCCTTTAAGTAACTGTCAAACAGAGGCAAGCCTGGAAGCTATATACTTTCCCTGCAACCGTCCTTCGTGATCATTCGGCCGCCCTGGTCGTCGTGCTCCACCAGTCCCATCTCCTAGCAAGCATGCCTTGCTCATGACATGTATCCTTCCTATGCACAAGGCACTCGGCACCGCAGGGTATGGCGCGAAAACGCGAGCATCGCATCCTCCAGCTGCTGCAGAATGTACCGCGCGATCTTGCCGGAGGATTTGGTCTTAGTCAAGCGGCGATGGTCTCTGATGGCAACCCTGCCAGCACCCCAGACATGAGGGACGGACAAAGACATTGGTGCAGGTACCTCGGCGCTTCTGTCCTCCGTACACCTTCTTGAAGGCACCTTGCATTTCCAACTCTGATGACTCTGATCCTCTGCTTTCACTGAGCTCTGCCACACTGAACCGCTGGCCTCACTGGCCCCGATCAGTGCAGCCGATTGCAGCCGAGCTGCCAACGCCCATGCCCTTGCGAATGTAGATCTTTCGCACCATGGACGCCGTTCTGACGTACAGCCAATCCGGATCCTCGAAGTGACGTGAAGGGAGATCCACATTGAGAAATGCGAGTGTTTCTCTTCTCCTGCATCTGCCTGCCCTCGCATCACATGCGAGTTAAAAATTCTACTATCCGAGTCATGGGCCCGTGAAAGTTGGGTGCCTTGGGGGGCCTCGTAAAACCAGTCGAATCCGCGAGCTGCAGGCCCAGTTAAGGACGACCGAAACCGTTTGATGGTGACATCGTTCCTCCTCTTCTGAATCAACAAGATTTTGCAAGGCAGTTTCAGATACCATCAATCGCAGTCCAGGCGCGGAAGGTGGCAGCTCCTTCGCCTTGCTCGTCTTTACCACATCCGCCCACTTCGGCAGCTCGAAGCGGCCTCAAGTTGCGCCATGTGCCGCGGCAGGCGGTGTCCCTGCAGTGTCCTGGCCCTGCCTTGGCGCTTGAGGTGCTGGGAGAAAGCCTTGATGAACTGCTCAGGCTCAACGTCCTTCACGGTCACGATCTTGCGGCCCTCCTGCATGCGGCATGGTGCAGCTCGGCCCGCACAGCGCTCGCTGCACTTCCGGGCGCCTTGAAGTAGTTGTCAAACACCTCGATGGACATG